ATATATATGTTATTAGTGTTGGATTTAATAGATTTCATCAGAAAAATGATTTTGGAACAATTCCCATAAGGGATTATGTCAGAAGTGGAATCAACATGGGAATTACAAGAAGAAATTGAAGACAAGAGCTAGCAAGAATCTAATAACCTGCCCACTCATCTTGGAAAGCACCATATGACTTAGGCTTAATGAACAAAAGAGGTGTGAACAATAACAAGTAGCCTTCAAGCAAAAGGATATAATATTTCTGGGGATTAAAGGTTCCTTGGCACCTGCATTTGTGAATAAAACTACACAATATTTGTGAGCCATGTGCATAAAGATGGCATTCAAAGAGAAACAGCCAGCGTCAAGCATCAGTGCATTTTTTTTCTGCTAAACATACAGTAGCATCTTCCTATATTACCCTTTTAGGTGTTTAGCTTTGGGGAGAACAATGTATTAAGTGAAGTCTGAACATGACAAATACTTCCATATATAGACATGTCAATCTAGCAAATAATTGCTTCCGTCACTTTCTTCAGGTTTGCCCCAAGTAAAGGATAAAAACTGTCCTGAAAGCTGCAATTTAATATTTGTTCACTGTACTGCTTCCTCCACGTTTCATTCCGAATTGCTATAAATATGTGATGAGATCATCTTTGAAGGTAGAACAGTGTTACCAAGGGAATATTTGTGTGGCAGCACCCACACTTATCTTAGCTGATCTTAAAAGGCTAAGGAGAATTGAACTGGGTTGGTACTTGGATGGAAGACCAAGAGGAAATCCCAGGGTTACAGGCTAGACTAGGAAATTGAAAACCATTCTGGAAGATGGTGATAGAAAATCACTTCCACACTGATGCTAGAAAAGCTACATAGACATGTTTGTGGAAACACCAGGAGTCAAGACTGACTTTGGGGAGTATTTACCCTTAGTTATGTGCCTAAGCCAGTTACATTAAATTACCAGTTGGGAAATGCCCTATATTGGATCAGAGAAAATACATTTAACATGCAGAAAAGCTGAATTTAGGTATTTAGCTAAACGCATGGAGGGCTTTAAACAGGGTAGAAAATAGGTCACCCATGCAACTCTGTCATCTATTTTGCCTGATCTCCCTTTCTGAAGAACAGCTTGAATCTGAATACAGTTTGTATACTGGGATTCTGCTTTATTAGCATATTGTGTATCATGCAAACTTGAGTACAGGTTTTCTTCAGAACTCTGATGGAATTCAGGAAGAGAAAGGGGTACACCAACACGTATATCCCATTCTCCCACTCTGAAGCTCTCTGTTCATTCAACTGAATGCCTGAGGAAAACTATAGAAGTCTCAGCAGAGCTCATAAAGAACTGTGGTGTCCCTGGGCACCAGAGTATGTGCTATTATACCTCCAACTACTTCCTTCTCCCCTCCTGAGTATGAAATTTCATGAGATTAGGAATCTGAAGCAAGAACTCAAAAGACTTTTAGGTGGTGGAAGGGGAATGGGCCATCACATGATTTAATGGCAACTAGGACAGCAAAATGTTGTTATCCCCTTGCCAGAGAAAGTCTGGGTCAAACTCAGGTGGAAGAAGAGAGACATAGATCTACTGAACCAATCAGAAAATTTTAGTTGAGACTGTTTTGGGGACAAGTGTAGCATTTTATTTTAGAAGCCTGACCACATTCTCAGAGATCTCCATATTACTGTAAATACAAGTAGCTTTAAACTCCAGAAGAGTTATAGCTTATGTATCTTTAATTCCATTTCTTGAGGTACGAAAAACTATTTACAGAATTTCAAGCTATTGAAATAAGTTGACCTACTACTACATTAAGGTCACATTGCTCTTTCAAGACAACCAACAAAGGTTTCTCTTTTCAGCCCTGTTTTTATTTATTTTAGAGAAGTATTTTTTCCTATCATCACATACTGAAAAAAATATGCAGAGAATTTTTACTGACTGACCGACTGGGGTAACTACCTCTATAATGGGGAAGAGAGACATTCTCTGTTCTAAGCTAGATTGTTTTGATCAAATAAGGTCAAGATATTTCCATCAAAATTCATAGTGATAAACAAGCAAATGTAGCCATTAGCAGCTTTAATTATTTAGGATGCTCATATGAGTAAATTAAAATTATCATTAAAATTTCTTATTGTATCTTCCCATCTCATAAATAACATTAAGACTAACTCTCAATGAATGCACTCAGTCATAGGTGCACTATGTAGCAAACAAGACATTTAAAGTAATGGGGTTTTACTTCATAATTTCTCCCAGTTTGATTAGATCACACTTCAAGAAAAATAAAAGGTGTGTAAAGATATAGCCTCAGTGTCCTCAGTCTTGAATCATGAAGAAACAAATATCCTGTTATTTGGATTTAGATTTGGAAAATGTCTACAGATTCTTTGAGCTTGTATTAGAAACAAAATTAACTTAATGATCTGTATTTAACTTTAGTGCATCCTACCTTTTCTTCAGCTCAAGGCAGAATACATAGCCCTTCCTACTCCAATTCCTCCCCCAACCCTTCAGAGTGGTATGTTGGGCTGAGAGATTGTTCTTGGCCCAATGAACATTCATGGCTGAGAGTTGACTTGAGCCTAGGTTGCACCAGTCACAATCCGATGTCTTAACCATGATGCCATATTGGCGAATTTGCTGCCTCTACAGTGCAGAATAAAAAATGGCATCTCTTTAAATATAAATTGTAATGACATTATCCTACCTGAAATCATCAGAATCAACGTTTTCTACCTCAGAAATTTTAAAAGAGAAACAAATTTTCATATGGAATAAATGCTCATCAAAGCAACAGCCACTTTCACTATATATCAGGCCTCCAGAGAAATTTCCATGCAGTGGTTTGCTTCTATTTTGTACTTCCTACTAGCATGACTATTAAACAACCCTTGACAGATCACTTAGTGGAACTTTCCCCAGATGTCAAATTGATGGTGAGAGCTGCAGCCCCAACACATCTGGAGAGTGGCAAGCTGGGGATTTGGGCTTATTGTTCCTTTATGACACAGAATAGCAAATCATTGTTTGTCTTGATTTGCAAATCCTGGTTTATGAAGAGATCAAGCCAGAATTCCTTTCAGGTTGGCTTATTTAAGTGGAAAGCTTAAGAGAGTCATGAGAGAAAATGCGGCAGAATAAATTGCTTCTGGTAATTTGACTACATGTTCTTTTGAAGGGGAAAAATCTGCTATATTTTAGAAATTATTATTTTGTAGTAATCACTTATTGTGTATATTTGTCCATTTATATTGACACTGTAAGTAGGGGAAACCAACAAGATACAAGGCATATCAAGGGAGCAATATCATAGGGAGACTCAGCGGCATTTGCTGCAAACGGTAATGACCCCTAAATGATGACATACACATGGTGAAATGCCGCAGTTAGGGACTTGCATCTCAATCCTGGAATTTAAGTAATGATGGCATCACACACATTTCATCATTTGTCTCCCTTGCCTCTTGTCCCCCAGCAGTCACCCAAGGTAAAAACTTACCAGCACTGTGTGCATTCCCGTGTAAATTCTGCTGAGGCATACCAGAGCTGAAAATAAGAAGGCTCCCGACAGTCCAAGTTCAAGTGGATACTAAAAAGATGAGGGGAGAGAATATTAACTTTATTCATCGCCTTAACAGAATACAATCCATCCAGAATTTAGTTCAAGGGTACCATAAATCTAGTTAATTAGAATCTAATTCCCCTAAAACCTGGGATGAAACAGACAATGAGAAGGGAACATGTGACTTCTCAAGAGCCCCATTTGGATGGGTTGTCAGATGATAGATGGTGAATATGGCTTTCTTTTGCAGATAACATTGATTCCATTCCAACACAAGCCTCCAAAGCATCCCAAACTGAATGAAGAACTCCAAAGAAACATTTCTATAGTTGAAAGAGTAACCAAGTAGTGCACAAAAGTGAATTTTTGCCCATTCCTTGTGATAAAAAATCCCACTGGGACAAAAGATCCTAATCTTACAGAAATGTGAATGAAGAGGTAAGCTAGCTCCATATTCATAGGAATGAGTTCTCTCAGCCACATTGAAAAGCTTGTTTTGACTGTCCGATGATTGGAAGAGGCAATTCATGAGAAGGAAATGGATGAAAAAGAAAGGGACTGTGATGCCATTGAAAATACCTGGGGCTTAAGATGGAAGAACTGATGTTTGACCAAATTAGGCTATGGGATTTGGTCATACAACATGGCCAGATTAAATCATAATTGCTTCTTCCTACCTTGTACCGGTTTGCAGTCACAGCTACAAAAGTGAAAGAGATGGCGGTGGCTGCCATTGCATGCGTGGATGGCATTCCATATTCTGCATTGGTCTTCTTTTCCAGCTTGACCACAGGTGGCGAAAGAGGACGAGGCCACTTCAGAAGGTCTTTCATGACTTGACCAATATACATAACTACCTGGAGGCAGCAAAGAGAGATTGGCTCGTTTAAAATGAGAGAGATTTGCCCAAGGGGTTCGAGATAAGTAGTTGGGGGATCCTATCCCAACCTGATGAGCTCCAGATGCCATAATTCCTACACACACAGGAAAAGGTGTGCTTGGAATTATAGGAGTTAAAAATCGAGCTCATCTGCAATGTACTTGGCTGGTAAATACTGACCTGTTAAAGCTCAGACTAAAGCTCAGATTTTTACAAGGCTCAAGGTAGAAAGCCTGAGGTCAGATATTGTTTAGGACAGTGTTTCTCAACCTTGGCAACTTGAAGGTGTGTAGACTTCAACTCCCAGAATTCCCCAGCCAGCATGGCTGTCTGGGGTGTTCTGGAAGTTGAAGTCCACACACCTTCAAGTTGCCAAGGTTGAGAAACACTGGTCTAGGAAGTATAGACCCTTCTTTCTCCCTGTGGCCCTGAAACAGAAGATCCAAACTGTTCTATGCACCATCAAACACCCTTGCAGAGATAATAAGATTGTAGTGTAAAAACACAAAACTTCAGTAATGGCAGAAACATTAAGCAGTGGCATTAAGCATTTAGAAATAACAAAGCAAGTCAATATAATGCTAAAAGAATGCATCATAAACGCAGTAGCTAAAATGTTTGAAAATCACAACAGAGAACATCATAACTTCAAACATCATGAGTTACACCTAAAGAGAAAATGTGTACCCACTTTTGGGGAGTGTAACTTCTTAGTGGCATCCTCGAGCAAAGGTAGCACAAACTATGTTGAACTGGAATACTAAACATAGAGCAATATTTATTCACTTATCAATTTTGTATACTGGCCTGATCACATAATAGACTCCTGATGGATAACAATATAAAACATACATGTATAATAAACACATCAATCAATAGCAGAAACATTTACAGTAATACCTCGGTTCACGAACACCTCTGTTCACAAACAATTTGGTTCGCAAACAGCGGCGTTCGCAAATTTTTGCTTCCATTCGCGAACTCCTCATTGGGTGACGAACACAACCTGCAACCATCTTCCCTGCTCTGACACGTGGTTGTGGCTTCCTCTAGGTGAGATCGTGGTCACAGACAGACACTTGCTGTGAAGCTTTTTGGTG